AAAATATGTGTAACATAAAATTTACCGTCTTAAACATGTTAAATTGTTGACTAGTGTTAAGTGTGTTCACACTGCTGTCAGGTAATCTCCGTAACTCTTTAATTTTGCAACACTCAGACTCCTTACCCATTAAACAACTCCTGTTTCTCCCCGTATCTGGTTCCTGACAGCTACCGTTGTTCCTTCTGTTCCTATGAATTCGACGACCTTCATTCCCTCGTGTATGTGGAATCACACAGAATCTGCCCTTTTGTGTTTGGCTTATTTCACTTCACACTCGGTCCTCAGGGTTCATCCATGTAGCAAGTGTCAGAATTTCCTCCCCCCCCCCGCCCTTTGCTTTTTTTGTTTTTTTTGTTTTGTTTAAGATTGATTTATTTGGCGGGGGAGGGACAGAGGAAGAGGGAGAGAGAGAATCTCGAGCAGACTCTGCACCGAGGGCAGAGCCCGGCATGGGTCCAGGTCCAGATGGAAGCAAAATCAAGGGTCAGGTGCTGAGCCGGCTGTGCCACCCAGGTGCCCAGCATTGCCTTCCTGTCGAAGGCCAACTGATACACCACCGTCTGCATAAACCGCGTCACGTTTATCCATTCCTCCACTGTCGGGTACTTGGGTTGCTTCTCTCTTGGCTGTTGTGAGTGATGCTTCTGTGAACGTGGGTGTGTGATATCTCTTCAGGATCCTGCTTTCAGTTTTTTGGATACATATCCAGAAGCGGAATTGCTGGGTCACATGATAATTCCATTTTTCATTTTTTGAGGAACTCTCATACTGTTTTCCATAGGGACTGTACCATTTTACATTTCCACAACCAGCGTACAAGGGTTCCACTTTCTTCACACCCTCACCAACACTTGTGATTTTCTGTTTGTCTGATAGTACCCTTCTAGTGGGTGTGAAGTGATCAGGACTGTGTTTAGGGTTAGTTTGTAGCAGTTTGATTATTAGGTGTTGAGGTGTAGGTTTTATTCTCGCTTGGAGTTACTTGATCTTAAATCTAAAACTTCATGTCTATCATCAGATCTGGAATGTTGTTGACCGTCATTTCTTCAAATATTTTTCTTTCTTGATGCCTTTATTCTGTACCCCCCCCCTTTTTAAAAAGATTTTATTTATTTATTTATTTGAGAGAGATCACAAGTAGGCAGAGAGACAGGCAGAGAGAGAGGGGGAAGCAGGCTCCCCGCTGAGTAGAGAGCCCGATGCAGGGCTCAATCCCAGGACCCTGAGATCATGACCTGAGCCAAACGCAGAGGCTTTAACCCACTGAACCACCCAGGTGTCTATTCTCTCCTTTTGAGTCTCCGGTGACACAGATGCTGGACCTTTGTTTCTATCCCACAACTCTCCCCAAAGCTCTTATTTCCCTCCCAATCTTGTTTTTCTCTCTGTTCTTCAGATAGGATAATTTCTGTTGGTCTGTCCTTGCTGACTTTTTCTGCTGCTATTTTCTTTCTGCTCTTGAGCCCATTGAGTTTTTAGTATACAACATACTATACAATATACAATATATTGTGTTCTTCATTCTGTCATTTCCATTTGTTCCTTTTTTAGTTTATATGCTGAAGATTTCTCAAATTTTATATGTGTTTTCCTTTGCCTTCTGGAGCATAGTTACACCAGATGCTTTCATGTGTTTGATAAATTCAGTATCTGGTCATCTTGGGTTTAAAATTTGTTGTCATTTGCCTTGAGAAATGGCCATATTTTCCTGATTTTTTTCTACATCAATGAATTTGGATTGTATGGTGGATTATGTTTTGTAAACTCTGGGTCCTGTATCATCCTCTAGAAAATACTGGATCTCTTTAGATTCAGACTGAAGGTTGTTTCCCCTTCTGTGGGTAGTGGTTCGAACATCCCTGCAGCTCTTGAAGCTGGGCTGGGGCTCCTCCGCACCCGAGTAGCTCCGAGGTGAGCCGGAGCCCGTACAGGCTCATTCAGGACACGTGAAGAGGTCTCCCTTGCTCTTCAGCTACCCTGGACCCCCCTTCTGGGTACCCGTGTACAGGAAGGTGGAGTTTTTGTTAGAGGGTGAGGCATCTGCATGGTCGGCATAGCAGTGTGGATCCCTGACTGGGGTCTCTCCTCAGGCTGAAGCCATAGGGGAAAAAATGGGGCAACTCAGCCAGACCATTCCTTCTTCGAGTTCTCCCTCTACAATTCAGCTACTGTTGTGTACTTTTTAGAATCCCCGGGTGGTTGTTTTTCAGTGCTCTGTCTGATTTTTCAGCTATAATCAGTTGAAATGGGATGGGTCGTCACCCTGCTGGGGCAGAACTAGAACGACTGTCCTTTTGTTCATTTTTGACAAAGTGATGATTTAGAAGTATGGTTTGGGCTTTATTTTTATTTCCAGGAAGTTCTAGTTAAGGGTGCATCCTTGAAATGAATAAAGAGCATGCTTTTACTGATAAAAGATGCCATCTGTCACAGTGTTTTAATTTCATGAATCAAAAACTTTTGTGTAAAGTAAATGAAGAAAAGAGGTGAGTTAAACCAGAGTCATAGTAGGATATTCAAAATACTTTTCCCGGTTTTTAAGATTAAATACGGGATTTAAATAACGAAATTGATTTCCTCAGTCTGCTTCATTCAATGGCTCATTGCCCACCGATGAGTTTATTCCCGTTCTTTCCACATGTCTTATAAAACATTTTTTTAAAAATCAAAACAACAACAAAAAACCTGGCCACATAGAAAAATCGCAAGTTCTCTACACAGCGCGGCTCTGCGCATCCTGGATTGCTGTGAGGTCAAGTTGGGTGTCTTTGTCTTTTGATCCCTGCAGTCATGGAGTTTTGCCAGCTTGTGTGCTGGGCCTGCCGGGGGGCGGCTGCCTCTCACCGCAGGTGTACCACACAGGTTGTGGAGGCCGACCGGATTCACTTCTCAGAGTCCACTCCTTTGTGTCTCCTCCTGGTTTACAGGCTCTGGAATTGGAGATCCACTGGTGTGAGTAATTTGGTAGCAAGAGACTGCATGGTTCGCCTAAGAGCACACGCCTCCTCCTGGCTCAGTGCTCTCTGCCCAGCCGGTACCCGTGGCTGCTCAGTCAGAATCTCACAATGAATTTATTTTCAGCGTAGTTTGGAGATGAAAGGAGGTGTCAAGGCAGGAGTGGGAGTGCTTGGAGATCACATGAACTTTGCTGCATTTGAAATTTTGAGGGCTCCCAGGAAATCTCTGCTGATCATGGTTTTTAAGAAAATTATTTAGGTTTTGGGGTGCCTGGGTGGCTCAGTGGGTTAAGCTTCTGCCTTCAGCTCAGGTCTTGATCTCAGGGTCCTGGGATCGAGCCCCGCATCGGGCTCTCTGCTTGGCGGGGAGCCTTCTCCCCCCTCTTCTCTCTGCCTGCCTCTCTGCCTGCTTGTGATCTCTGTCTAATAAATAAAACTTAAAAAGAAAATTATTTAGGTTTTGGTTTATCTGTTGTCAAGTTTATTGATTTGGATAATTGAGGGAGGATTTATTAAAGGAAACCCACCAGATTTTAAAACAGAATCAGTGTTGCCTGGGTGGCTCATTTGGTCAAGCATCCGACTCTTAATTTCAGTTCAAGTCATGATCCCGGGGTCTTGGGATCAAGCCCTACATCAGGCTCCATGCTGGGTGTGAAGCCTGCTTCACAGTCTCTTGTTTCCTTCTCCCTCTATCCCTCCTCCTCTTAAAAAAAAAAACAAAAAACAGGGAAATAAAAAATAAGCCCAAAGAAAAATTAGTTATAGATCCTAGCAGGGTTAATATTTTAGTATATACGTCCTTCCAGTGTCTAAACAGACAGATAGACAGGTCACTTGTCTGGGTCATTTGGTGGAGCTTGTGGTTCTTGGCCTAGGATTCATAACTTTGAGCCCCACGTTGAATGTAGAGATTACTGGGAAAAAAGCAAGCAAACTAGACTGATGGTTGGTCTGTTTTTGGCCTTACCACCCTGAAAGTTCTCAGTGTTGTCCGATCTTAGAAGCTAAATGAGGTTGGACCTGGTTACTGTTTGGATGGGAGACAGACACCGAGCTCTGTGCATGTGCGTGTGTGTGTGTGTGTGTGTGTGTGTGTGTACACACGTGAGTACACACATGTGAGTACACACACACAATCTCAAAAAACAAAGATAATTAAAACATGCATTTTTAGCCTTTTTTTTTTTTAAACCTGTTATATAGTTTGTATCTTTTTAGGTTGATTATTCAGATCTAAGTAATTTTAATTGATGCAGAATTTTCCAGTGTGAGTATATATTATATTATTAGCTTACCAGTATTAGACTTAAGATTTTTGTTCCAGTTTTTGTTGCTGAAAACAATACTGTCTGTATGGTGAGTAACATAACACAATAAAAACAAAAACAAAAAAGCAATACTCTTGATTGTCGTAGTATATATATTTCTCTGTACTTGCTCCATTATTAGGCTGATAATCTACATGTGTAATTGCTGTGTAAGAGGTTACGTACTTTTTAGGAATCTTTGAGAGACAAAAAAAAATGTCTTCTAGTTTTGTGTTTGTAGTTACTGGTAAGGTTTACTGAACATTTTTAGTTATCTTTGTGAATTACCATTCGTATCCGTTGCCCATTTTCCCATTAGTTGTCCAGGTTTTAATGCTTATTTGTAAGGTCTTTTCATTGGAACGTAAACTCATCATATATTCAAAATATTTTCACCCAATTTATTTGATTTACTTTTTTTTTTTAAGAGAGAGGTGGGTAGGGAAGGGGATAGGGAGAGGGAGAGAGAGAATCTTAAGCAGGCTCCACGCCAGTGGGGGCTTGCTCGCACGACCCTGGGGTCCTGACCTGAGCTGGACTCCGGAGCCGGATGCAGAACCTGGCCCCGCTGGACTTGCTTCCTTGGTAGTTCAGTGTCTGCACTTACGGCATCTGTGAAGCTTGGTCTGGGTCCGACGCCACCCAGGGTGCTTCGCTGCTGTTCCCGGTGCCACATGGCGCTATACCCGGACCGGGAGCCTCGTTCTCAGCGTCTCTCTTTCCCCACCAGATGCCGACCCAGCGGTGACAAGGGCGATGCTGCGCTGGGTGTACACGGACGAGCTGCAGTTCCGGGAAGACGACACGTTCCTGACAGAGCTGATGAAGCTGGCGAACCGGTTTCAGCTGCAGCTCCTCAGGGAGAGGCAAGTCGTGGCTGTCCCCAGAGCCCCTCAGGCTGGTGGCTGGGCTGGGAGCTAGCCGAGCGCTGCTGCTGATGGAGGGGACTGCGCCGCGGCGGGGACGGGGCTTTCCCTCCCTTGCTTGGTGTGATATGGCCAGAGCTTTTCAGTATTCTCTTTCCTTTCACTGATTTTTTTTTTTAAACCCGGGTTTGTGTATTTGTGAGCTGATAAATGAGTATGAGCCGCTTCGGATGATATGCCCAGACCCCAGCTTTCCCTCCAGTGCCACTTCCTGGGACAGTCGTCCTGCTTTGTGGTGTGATACACGTCCTTGGGGAAGTCCTCAGTCAGATTCTTCTCGTTAGAAGCTCGTTCATGCGGCTCGCGGACAGCATTCCCGAGTTCGTTCTTCATTGGTTACTGCTTTCTGGGTCCCCACGGAGGCAGCTTGCTGGGTTTTGTTAATACTGCGTTTTCTCTGTCGCTCCCCCACGTCGGCCGTCCAGAGCAACAGAGAGCACAGTGTCACCGTATGATGTCATGCAGATGCCCTTTGGGTTCTGTGGGGGGTGCGGCCGGCTGTCGTGGGCAGCGTGGCTGCGGGGTGTCTTTCACATCACTTGCTGAGCTCTTATATCCCCTCGGGTGCTGCAGGAGTGGCTCGTCTTGTGGGTGAGTGAAGGGTGGTTTCGGCCCCTGCTGTGTTGCCCTCAGAGGGCCTGGAGCTGCTCCCTGTCTCCACCGCGGGGTGGGCGTCTGCCAGCCCCTACCCCATGAATGCGTGTGCGGGCTCCTCCCGCGGCCCTGTGATGGAGGTCAGCCCCAGTGCATTTTGATATCTAAATCCAATATTAAAAAAACCCCAAACAGGTCTGCGATAGGTAGGCACATACTGTATTCGGTTAGCAAAGCTAACTTGACCGTGGAGGCCTTTGGTTTGGGTGAGTGAGTGAACCATCTGGGTGAGTTGAGAATGATTTTAATTAGATTGAATATGATTTGTGTCTTTTCTTTTCCAAATTTCCTGAGCTTTTTTCCATTGACCTTGTCGAATTTGTTTGTAAATTAAATTGCTTTGATAAAAATGCCCTGGGGTTGGAGTAGTTTAGGTAATTGTAATCTGTGTAATGGATTCTTTAATTAAAATGTTTATTGACTGGTTAGGCTTCTTAACCATCAGCATTATCAGATGCTCCATTTTGTGCTGTTGCGTGTGAGTATTAAATTGTTATTTGTCCTGGTGGGGCTGGAGGGCACCCAGGAGTGGGGGTTCAGGGGTGGAGGTGGGCAGATGTCGGCTCTTGATAGGTCGCAGGGCGCCCACTGCTGTGGGCAGGAGGGTGTAGTGTGTGCACATCCGAGACAGCGTAGGGCTCTGTCCATGGGAAGTGTTGCTCTTGTGCGTATGTCGGGATCTCGGAGGTTTGGGAATGCTTCACCAGTTTGATGAAAAGGAAGTTTTTGGTAAGTATTACCAGAAAGATACTTTTTTAAAAGAAGAACTAATAGTAAATGCTAAAAATTGACAGTTAGGATAATAATTGTTTTCCTGCTTATAAAATATAAGCTCAGTGTATGGCAGTTGGAAAACATTGAATAATACAGAAAAAAAAAACCCTAAGTCACCTATAATTCAGCCAGCTAATGTTTTGTTGTTTCTCTTGTCAGTACTCCTATTCTCGCACATGGGAGTGATACTGAAACTAGATAGAGTTCGTGAGATGCTTAATTCTTGCTTGATTTTGTACGTTTTTTTAAAAAAGATTTTATTTATTTATTTGACCGAGAGAGAGAGAGAGAGAGAGAGAGAGAGAGATCACAAGGAGGCAGAGAGGCAGGCAGAGGCAGAGGGGGAAGCAGGCTCCCCACTGAGCAGAAAGCCTGATGTGGGGCTCAATCCCAGGACCGAGACCGTGACCTGAGCTGAAGGCAGAGGCTTAACCTACTGAGCCACCCAGGTGCTCCTTGATTTTGTACTTTGAAAATTGTTTTTGTACATCTATATCCTTCTAGTGCTTTAAAATTAAAAACATGTATTCACAACAGAATCCCTTCAGAGGAAAGTTAGTCTGTCCTGCTACTGTTGAAAAAGACGATAAGAGCTAAGAATCTGGGGCACCTGGGTGGCTCAGTGCGTTAAAGCCTCTGTCCTCGGCTCAGGTCATGGTCCCAGGGTCCTAGGATCGAGCCCGGCATCGGGCTCTCTGCTCAGCAGGGAGCCTGCTTCCTCCTCTCTCTCTCTCTGCCTGCCTCTCTGCCTACTTGTGATCTGTCTGTCAAATAAATAAATAAAATCTTTAAAAAAAAAAAAAGAACTAAGAATCTGAACTTTTAAATAAGATAACATGTTTTTCCGTCTAACCGTAACGTGAGTGTACGTTGGTGTTCCGTGAACCACGTCGGTTACCAGTTGCGGGCTTGCCGGAGGATGAACGGCAGCCCGGGGGCCCCAGAGTGAGGTGAAAGTGGAGTGTCTGCCACTGGTGATGAAACGCCCGTCTTCAGGAAACACATTCCAGGATCTCGGTACAGGTGTCATTCGGCGCAGAAAGGAGAAGGGGATTTGTCTGTTCAAGTGTTGTGCAGGGGGCTCTGCAGACATGGGTCAGTGGTCCCTGGGGTGGGACAGTGGGACGGACGCGCCCGGGTTTCGGCGCTGCACACTTGAGAAGTGTCACCGTGCCGGCAGAGGACCCCCTCCCCAGACGCTCTGGTCTCGTAGCCGGTCACGGCCACTTGGTGGGCCGTGGCTCAGAAGCAAGGACTGGTGTTCGTTACAGTTGCTTTCTGAGGTGCCTTTGGATTGACAAGTGCCCTGTGGGTGGCGCTTCCTTACACCACGGCACCTGTGCTGCTTAGAAACCAAGAACCTAGGCATCCCTCTCGGAACGCAGTGGGTACCCGCCCTGACAGCTGGATGGGGAGAAGTCAGCAAGATTGTCACAGGGAGCTCTGCGAATTCTTCTCAGGGCCTTGTTGCGACGCCTCCCTCCTCCCCCATCTCCCTCCCTCGCACGTGGCCTTTCTCCACCTCTGTGAGCTGCCCCTCACCTGCTCAGATGGAGACTTATCTGCCGGCTCGCACGTGTTCTTACTGCAGTACAAACCAGCCCTTGTGATAAGCGCTGCTGCTGCTGCTGCCTTGAGAAGGCCCCCAACCCGACAGGCACAGCAGCCACACACGCATGCCTTGCGGGGTTCTTAGCTCCCTTTGTCTTGAAAAACGCGTGGGGATCCTCTGTTACTGTGTGCAGCAGGAGGCAAGAGGCACGGGGCGGGGGGCGGTCCGTGGACCTCCATCCAGTTCTTTCTTCCCGCACAGTGCAGTGCTCTCAGTGCCGTTCTGCCCCCGTGATCAGAAGAGGGTTTCTGTGGCAGCTGCAGGACAGACGAAGCCACGGTAGGCTGCCAGGCCTCGGTGATGCCCTTGGAGGGCCTCACTTGTACGCAGATGTGCAGGCAACCGGTGGAAGGATGGTGCCGCTGGCCTCTTTCCCCCCAGTCCAAGTCCTGCAGAGGCTCCCCGCAGCCTCCCGGAGTTTGGAGTCGACTTCCCAGTGCTGCATCTCCTGGGCCAGGGTGTGTGTCAGCTTTGTGCCAATAGGGGCCTGCCGGCCTGGGTGACATACTGGGTGCTTTTTTATTAGTGGATGTGAGAGCCTCGTGGTGGTGGTGCTTGGTAGCAGGCTGTTTGGACGTCTGTGCAGCCAGTTTTTCAGTCTGGTGTACTCTGTGAATCAAGTGAGGGACGTATGTGTTACACACGGTGGGCGTATTGTACGTACTGTAGTTGCACTGCAGGTGTAGTGAGGGTGTACCGTGTGTGTCCTGCAGGTGTAGTGTTTGTATACTGCGGGTGTAGTGTGTATATACTGTGTGTACCGTGTGTACTGTGGGCATAGTGTGTGTACTGTGGGCATAGTGTTGTGTACTGTGGGCATAGTGTTGTGTACTGTGGGCTTAGTGTGTGTGTACTGCGGGCGTAGTGTGTGTATACTGCGGGCATAGTGTGTGTGTATTGCGGGTGTAGTGTGTATACTGCGGGCATAGTGTGTGTGTATTGTGGGTGTAGTGTGTATACTGCGGGCATAGTGTGTGTGTACCATGGGCGTAGTGTGTGTGTACCGTGGGCATAGTGTGTGTGATGTGGGCATAGTGTGTGTGTACCGTAGGTATAGTGTGTGCGTACCGCGGGCGTAGTGTGTGCCGTGCCGCGGGCGTAGTGTGTGTGCCGCGGGCGTAGTGTGTGTGTGCCGCGGGCGTAGTGTGTGTGTGCCGCGGGCGTAGTGTGTGTGTGCCGCGGGCTTAGTGTGTGTGTGTCGCGGGCTTAGTGTGTGTGTGCCGCGGGCGGAGTGTCTGTGTGCCGCGGGCGGAGTGTCTGTGTACTGCGGGCATAGTGTGTGTGTACTGCAGGTGTAGTGTGTATACTGCAGGCGTAGTGTGTGTGTACCGCGGGCATAGTTGTGTACTGCGGGAGTAGTGTGTGTGTGTGCCGCGGGCGTAATGTGTGTGCCGCGGGCGTAATGTGTGTGTACCGCGGGTTTAGTGTGTGTACCGCGGGCATAATGTGTGTGCTGTGGGCATAGTTTGCGTACACTGCGGGCATAGTGTGTGTGCCGCGGGCATAGTGTGTGTGTACCGTGGTCTTAGTGTGTGTGTGTACCGCGGGCTTAGTGTGTGTGTACTGCGGGCGTAGTGTGTGTACCGCGGGCATAGTGTGTGTGCCGCGGGCATAGTATGTGTGTACCACGGGCTTAGTGTGTGTGTACCGTGGGCATAGTGTGTGTGTACCGCGGGCATAGTATGTGTACTGCGGGCGTAGTGTGTGTGTACTGCGGGTGTAGTGTGTGTGTACTGTGGGCATACTGTGCTATGGGCGTAGTGTGTGTGTACTGTGGGCATAGTGTGTGTGCTGCGGGCGTAGTGTGTGTGTACTGTGGGCATAGTGTGTGTGCTCCGGGCGTAGTGTGTGTGTACTGCGGGCGTAGCGTGTGTACACTGCGGGCGTAGTGTGTGTACTGCGGGCGTAATGTGTGTACTGTGGGCATAGTGTGTGTGCTGCGGGTGTAGTGTGTGTATACTGTGGGTGTAGTGTGTGTATACTGGGTGTGTACTGTGGGTTCACTGTGTACTGCGTGTATCCTGTGGGTGTACCGCAGGTTCACTCTGGGTGTTACGGGTAAATCTCGGTTGTCTCTCCACATTCTCTAGTCGGCGTTTACAAGTCAGCTTTATCGAGTGATAATTCCCATCCCATACAGTTTGCCGTGGGAGGACTTACCAGGGATGTGGATTTACTGAGGCGTGTGTAGAGCCTCCTCTCGGAAGCTGCTTTGAAGCCTCGCGGGTGGAAACTGCACGTGTGTCCTGTACAGTTACATATTAAAGGAGTGAATTTGACCTGTAATGTGTTTGGTTTTGTAGGTGCATGTGTGTGATTAATGGGGTTCGGGGAATCACGTGTCAGTTGGGGTTATGTTTCATGTGTCTATTTAGAGGTTATTTTGATGCTGACCAGAATGGCCATGTTAGGTATGATGCTAGTCTTGTACTTTTATTTTTTTTTATTTTATTTTTTTTTAAAGATTTTATTTATTTATTTGACAGAGAGAAATCACAAGCAGGCAGAGAGGCAGGCAGAGAGGCAGGCAGAGAGAGAGGAGGAAGCAGACTCCCTGCTGAGCAGAAAGCCCGACGCGGGGCCCGAACCCAGGACCTGGGATCATGACCTGAGCCGAAGGCAGCGGCTTAACCCACTGAGCCACCCAGGCGCCCCATAGTCTTGTACTTTTAAATACAGTAGCTCAGCCGTGAATTCACCCTGACTCCCCTGCCTGCTCACACGTTAGCGTTGCTGGGTTAGACCACCAGTACTCTGCTCACGGCCTCGGTTTGCCCATTGATGAATCTGTTTGTCCTGAAGACACCGTTCACCATTAATTTCTCTTGTAGATGTGAGAAGAGCGTCATGTCTCTGGTGAACGTCAGGAACTGTATCCGCTTCTATCAGACTGCGGAGGAGCTGGGCGCCGGCACGCTGATGAACTATTGTGCGGAAATTATCGCCAGCCACTGGGTGAGTGCGAGGCGGAGGGGTGTGAGCACAGCATGCGCGTGGCAAGCCGGAGACCTGGGCTCGGGCCTGCTTCTGTGGAATGTTCCTCTCTGCCTCCTGCTTGCGTTAGATGACTGGAGAGATTCTTCTGGGCTCTGACGCCTCCTGATTGCAGAGTAGAGAGGCAGGAGGTCATTCAGGTTAAGAAACAGGCTTGGTACGAGGGGACCCCTGCCTGCGTCCTCTGTCCGCAGAAGCTGCCCGCAGGCCTCGGGCGCTCGGCAGTGCTGTTTCCGGGCGGCTCCGGCTCTGCAGCATGGGTGGGGGGAGCGTCCTTAAGTTTCGATTTGCCCTGCCTCAGAAGTGTTTGTCATAGAGAACGTTTTGGCATTTCTTTGTTGTGTTCTTTGCATTTTTAAAAGAATCACGCCTAGGGCTATGTTTTATGAGCTCGTTTCTGCGCATGGTTCTGTGCTAAACAGTATTGTTAGGAAAGGTGTCTAAAATAATAGGGTTGTTGGGGTGCCTGGGTGGCTCAGTGGGTTAAGCCGCTGCCTTCGGCTCGGGTCGTGGTCTCAGGGTCCTGGGATCGAGTCCCGCATCGGGCTCTCTGCTCAGCAGGGAGCCTGCTTCCCTCTCTCTCTCTGCCTGCCTCTCTGCCTACTTGTGATCTCTGTC